GTTTATTTCTCTCTGATAGAGCGACACGTCCAGCGTGTCGCTGAACTGACATGTGACAGAAGATGAGACTAGCCCCCAAGGCTTGTGGTGACGGGCCCTGCATGTTTGATACACAGGGTGGGATAGGGCTAGAAAATGCCAGACAGAAGAACCGAGGGAGGAAAAAGGACATCAATACTTCTGTCTAAGTGAAAGTCTGAGGCTTTTTAATGAGATTTTTCTGCCTTATCTCCCACTGCCCAGGTCTGGATAAATTGCAACTGTCAAACAGCCCCACAGACCCTGAATCTGGGAAGCTCTCGGCCAATGGGCATCAGAAAACTCTGTGAAAGGGACGATAGATCAACACACACATATACACACACGCGCACACACACACACACGCACAGACACCTACACACGTAAATGCAGCCAAAGGGATATTTCGACAGTACTGCCTGACTGCTGAAAGGTGAAAAGGATTGGAAGGAACTTAATAAACCCAGGCAGTGTCTGACGGATGCTGCAAATGGAGGCTGAGAGCAATTTAGCTTCGTGACATTCCATCCTCTGCGTCTCGGATGGAAGCTGGGACAGGGCCAGGGCTGAGACTGAGGATTGAAATAGACTGGCATCACTGCAGTGACCTTGAAGTTGACCTCAACCACGACTGTGACTTCAAACCACCCATCTTTTGCTTCAGGGGCATTCTCTCCCTCCCTCTGCCCATTCTCTTACAACCTTTACACCACCGCACTACACAGAAGCAACCAGAGTCTTACATTTACCTCCGTGTTCACTAACATAAATTTCACCTACACAATTCAATTAGACAGTTTTTTTTTTTTTTTATTGTTAATGTGTCTGTGACAGTGAGGCAGGGTGCACTCACAGTTAAGGGTCTTTAATCGTAGAGGGTTTTTGCTGTTGTTGTTCTGATGTTAACTGATACAGGCGTAATGAGGTGTCAGTTTGTCAAAAAATGTGAAAAATAACCAAGAGCTTTGTGAAGCGTGAGGACGAGTCATTTATTCCCACTCATCACGGCTGGTCTGTAAAACTGCACAGCATCAATACGGCTCACATATTGTGAATTAGGCACTGTCATTCTTAATAAAAGGGCCTCAAATTTTTAGCACTCGGGACTGTCATCAGTCATTTTATCTGGCTTTACTCCAAGTGCGCTTTAACTTTATTGATGATGTCATTAGTTTGTATGAAGTAGGATGAGAACTTTTTTTTGGGTGCTCCAGATTTGACTTGAACGGCTCCACAAATGGGAAACTATGTGGGAGTTTTATTTCACTTCGCTTCCAATGAGCAGGTTTGAAAGTGAGGACGAGGTTGTATTCTTTTATGCACATCGGAGGAAAATGTCACCGCAATATTGCTTATTCCACACCCCAAAATCCTCAAAAATAAGTAAATAAATAAAGAAGGAAAGAAACTTTTTTTTATACAGGGCACAGAAATGGTCACGTTTCTTTGTAAATGTTGTATACACATGTACATATTTCATTGTTTCATACCTATTTTGGATGTAAACATTGGGCTCGCACCCAGGGTCTGAATCACTAAGCATTCTGTATTTTCTTGTACATATACCTATAAATATATTTTTTTTATAAACAGCTTCATCTAATGCAAATCTGTAGGTCTTCACACAGAATGCATGAGTAAGAAAACATCCAGCTTTGTTGCTGTGAGAAAGACTAGGTGACTCAGGCCCCTTTTACATGTTGTTGTATTGCTGCATAATCTTCTGAACTGTGATGTTCTTTGTCTCCAGAACCACCTTAAATGCCTTATACGAAAAAGCAGGCTTAATGTTAAGGTTCTGTGGAGTTTTTGTCCGTGCACACGTGCGTGTGTGCGTGGGCATTGTGAGCGTGTAGACAGTTCCACTGTGATCTCCTGTATGCCAGAGTTTCTAGTCTGAAGCCATTTCTTTTTGCCATGAATGTTTATGTCACATCAGCTCCATTGAGACTAGATTAGAGTGATCTCATGATGATTGTGTGTGTGTGTGTGTGTGTGTGTGTGTGTGTGTGTGTGTGCGCGCGCTTTGTATTTTCATGGTCGTTTAAGTGATAGAGTGATGAAAAGAAGGAGGAAAAAAAGCTGAATTTGTATATGCAATCGAAATGGGAAGGAGAATTTTTTTGCACCAAAAACTGACTGCAATTTGATGTTGTTACAAAGACTGGAATTAAGGAAAAAACTCACTGACACCAACTTCTCCAATCAGACCTGAGAATGTTTTGTAAATGGTGATTATGTCGGCTTTTCATCCCAAATCCAAAGTACAGCCATGTGTCTGATTTGTGATCAAGGCCATATCAAGAGAGCAAGTTGTGTAGTGGCAGAAACTTGAGGTACATGTCCTGGTATGTTTCTTGTCATTTTATTTGTTTCCAGTAAAAGCACGCTGATGTCTGCATACTGTGGGGAAAAATACCATTGTGCACAAATTAATGTGGTAGGTCAATAAAGGGTGACACTGACGGATTAGAGATTAAAATTAATAATAATTCTTCATCTGGGTGAAAAGGTTAAACCCGTGCGTCCATCCACTCAGCTACACACTGCAGGAAAGTGTCACACCCCTAATAAAGCATCACAATCAAACTCTGCATACTGCATTTACAATAAATCTGTTTAATGGGGTTTTTGTGAGGGGGGGGGGTCAAAAAACTTGAAAGTTGCTCTGAAATGTCAGTGAGCAGGCTTTCATTTCTTTCCATCTGACACTCGATCCCTGCATGTAATTTTGGTACATGTTTTTTGTGAATGTATTTTTTTTAAACAATTCTTCAGTCTGCTAAATGTAACGTTTTGTTCTTTTCGATGTTTGTGTGTTTGCAAATAAAAGAAAATGCTTCAACTTATTTTCATTTGTCACTGTGGCAATCAGGTCATCAGCGGTCGTTGGCTAATTGTGACTTCAATGTTTACCTATTACTTGTCCAGTAATCAGTTTCTTTCCTTCCCATAATAAAAGGTGAAAATGTGGATGTGTTGGATCAGAAGAATGACACCATTGTAATATTTGTGTTGTGGGTATGATGGCAGGATGTTATTAGCTTTGCTCAGGATAAGACTGGGAAGCCATCCTAGCTCCGTCCTCAGATATAAAGAAAAATGGCACCTATAAAGCTCACCAACATAATATCTCACTTGTTTAATCCATAAATAAGCAATGAAAAGATAGCTTGTGGTTTAATGGGGAGCTACGCGCTATAATTATGTCTTGTCAAACAACAGCTGCTGGTTGCCTGTTAACTCTCACGGTGGCACAACTACACAAGGGCTAGCTGCTGTTTGGTAAATAACGTCTCTCGTGTTTCTTTTTAATGCACAAAGTAAACGTGAGCGATGCAGAGTTTTATGTACGCTTTAGTTGTGGTTTTAGTCTGCTTCACTTCTTCACCCTGCATGATTATGCCGAGATCATGGCCTGTCGGTTCCAGCTTCATATTTAATGTTTAACTGCGATAGATGATTAGGTTATCCCTACCTGAAACCCTCAGGATCAGCTGGTTTTATTTATTTATTGTACATAAACCGTAGCATTTTAATGAAGCTTTGCGACATTTTTCTTGCATACTATAATAGGGTGGGTCTAATATGGACACTTTTCAATTTGCCTTATGTATTCCGTCTTTTTTTTTTTTATTTTTTTTTTTTATCCCTCATAACATCTTAATTATAGGTGAAAACCTCATGAGATTTCCGGGGCTCAAAATCATCTCTATGCTCTGTTAAAACTGCAGCCAAAGCAATTTTACACCCACTCAAAGTGTCACAATATGAAGTCAAAGTCAGTGTAATATGTACACTTGCTGGTCACTTCATTTGGTACAGGTGCTTAGTAATACAAATATCAGCCAATCAAACTGCAGAAATGTATTGCTTTAAGGCTTGTAGACTTAGTTAAGGTGGTCTTAGTTCAAACTAAGGATGAGAATGTGGAAAGAAGGTGATTTAAGTGACTGACTGGTTGTTGGTTGTTAATGGGCTGACCTGAGTATTTTAGAAAATGCTGATCTGCTTTGACTTTCCCCATACAACCATCTCTAGGGTTTACAGAGAACGGTCTTAAAAAGAAATCATCCTGTAAGCAGCAGGTCTTTGGATGAAAATGCTTTGATGTCAGAGGTCAGATGAGAATGGCCAGACTACTTCGAGCTGATAAGAAATAAGCACTCATTACAAATAAGGTATGCAAAAGAGCATCTCTGTATGCGCAACATTTTGAACCTCGAAGCAGATATTTACAGCAGCAGAAGACCATACTGGATGCCACTCCTGTCAGCTAAGAACTGAGGCTACAATTCACAAGGGTTCGCCAAACTTAGGCCGTAATCAGGAGATAATAGAGTCGGGATCCCTGCTGTCTTGCATCAACAGTACAGGCTGCTAGTTGTGTAGTGGTTCAGGAGATATTTTCTTGCTACACTTTGAGCCCCTTGTTACCGACTGAGCTTTGATAAAATACCACAGCCTACCTGAGTATTGTTGCTGACCATGTCCATCCATTTGTGACCACAGTGTGGCCATCTACTGATGGGAGCTTCCAGCAGGATAACACACCATGTCACAAAGCTCAAACATCTCAAACTGGTTTCTTGAACATGATAAAAAAAATTCACTGTAGTCCTTCAGAGTTACCAGATCTCAATCGAATAGCTTTGTAATGTGGTGGAAAGGGATATTGACATTTGAAGTCTTCTCAAGTGATCAGAAAACAGATAAAACATCCAGGCTACCACTCTGCTACCCTGTATCACAGACATTAAATTGGTGCAGTTGTGCAACTATCAAAATTGTGATACTGGTTCAAAGTTGGTTGAAGGAAAACAAAAACTGGAACAAATTCAAGAAGTTTCCCAGAGAAAAGCTGATTTGGTTGAGGTTTCTAACAAAACTGAAAATGTGTTTTTTAAACAGTTTGTGACCCACCTCTATGTAGAGGCTGTAACCCAGAGAATATTCATTGTACGAAAGCATAATTCTGCACAGCTTCAGCAAAAATGCTTATTTTATTTTAGTATTTTATACAGCTAATTCTGATTTTATATTAAGCGATCCACATGGAGTCATCCAGATTGCCTTCTCCACCCTATTAGATAGTTTTTTTGTGGTACGCAGATCTGCACAGTGGACACAAAGGTCTACTATCTGCAGAGAAGGCCTCAAAGGCCTCAAGACAGAGCTGGTGGAAAAGGTGGGAACAGGACAGGAGCACGGTTGGTCTCCGCTGTTGATGGTTGGATCTCGCCGATACTGTCGGGAGGCTGAGGTTGCTTAGTGCAGTCAGGCAAATGGGGCAGTCCCACACACCTCTCTGGATAACCTGTAAGAGTTTGAAGTAAATCACATGAATTCTCTTGAACTTGCCTTAATATGTACCTGCACAATAAGAGGACACTGAGGTTCTGTTGGCAGAACCTGACAGGTTTGATCGGACACGAAGCAATAACGCGTTTATCAGCGATCCTTATACAAAACAAAGCATCACATGCATGGATTCACCAATTATTAACCAAAGGCAAGCTTCCTGTATTTAAGGGCCAGCATGCGCCCGCTGTTTAATGTTTCATAACGAGCTGCACGCCAGTTTATAGAGTTTGTACCCGTGAAAAAGGTGCAAGGCATGTGTTGAAAGCGCATTCAGCGTTTGATGCTTCATGTCAAGGCTGAGCCACTCCTGCCTTGTGCTCAACCTTTTCACACCAGATAAAGAAAAAAAACAGACATCTTCTTTGCACACACCCCACTCCCTCTATGGAAAAATGGCACTGACTGCAATGAAAGCCAACAATGGGGCCTTAAGGAACAGCAAATCTTAATGTCTTTTCAGTTCCTCCGCAGTAGGCCAGGTGATGAAAAGCCTGCCGTGCATCATCAGACTTGCTCGTGTTTTTTGATAAACACAGAGGATTATTAGCCTACTCACTCACATTCATTTGGTAAAAATGAATGATCACCTCTGAGAGATATGTACTTTCTGTATTGCAGCTGTGATGCTGTGGTCCCCTTGCAAGCATTGACTTGTCAAGGGAAAGGCAAGGCTGGAAGAAGAATCAGACTCGGATTAGATATTTTTATGGCGCCTTGTTTAATGATACAAGCGGCTTCTAGTGTATCTCGCCCCCTGACCTGGCTCTTTATTCGGTCCCAGTCGTTCTCCTGAGGTTCGGAGACGCTCTTTCTCTCCAGCTGCTGGAACACTCGTCTGCTTGATGACAGCGAGCGGTCGATATCACTCAGAAAAGCCTCCGTGTCGGTGTGACAGTATCGGACAAAGCTGTCATTCAACTCCTGCAACTAATTAGAAAAACCATTTTAGCGGCACAAAGGATGCGAACGTTTTCATTCAGCCGCACAATAGAGTCGTGTTTTCGGCGAAGGCTAATTGTGTTTGTGTGTGTATGTGTGCGTGTATTGTAATGGCTGAGGCACGCTGACAGGGTGCAGTTGTTAAACAGCCAGATCGATACAGTCACATCTCCCACTAGCATGGAGAATTAATGGAAACCAGTAAAAAAAAGGAAGAGGGTGCTGGGAAACATGGAAACACACATATCACTTACACTTTTTTCTGCTTCATACACCAGACGCACACGCAAACTGCTACACACCGTCTGGGCAGACACTCAGTCAAACCAATTGCACAGTAATTGTTCAATCTAAACGACTGAATACGAACTCCTCTTTTCTAAAGCAACTTCTGATTTCTTGATATTTGTTCCAAAGCCATATTTCTGGATCAGCTTAACCAGCATGACTTTATCTTTCTCAGCTAGATGGAATATATCACATGTTATGGTCGGTTTTCTGTCTATTCAGGTGGAATTGAGCTTTCCTTTTCGATACATAGACAACACAGACTGAGTCCAGTGTGATTTAACTACTTTAAATTTAACTACTTAAAAATTCAGTATCACTTCACAAGAATACTACTGTGAAGAAGCAGCATTTAAACCAAGTAAAACATAGCCTACCCGCATGCCCCACAAATTCTTCTATTTTGGATATTATTTGGTGTGTGGGCAACATTTTCCAAAGAGGGATGTGGACTTTAAATACAGCGTCTTCACTCCTCTCTCTGAAGCATTTAGTCAGCTATTCAATTGTCAGTTTGACCATTTTAAAGTCTTTTTTTAAATTATTATTATGATGTCTATCTACACAGAATTCATCTGTCTTCTCCCATTTACAGCAGCTGTTGCTAGGCAACAATTAAAACATACTCAATGAAAATATGAAGAGGCTGTACATTCATTTAAAGCCTTCTGATTTGAATATTTTAACTAGTTCAACAACTATCGTGTCTTCGTGCAGGCTACAAGCGATTTGATGTTCTGCAGAAATTTTTATCAGACCTTCCTCAAGCTCGGGGTGATGTGTTTAAAATCTCGTCTTGTTTGATCAATAGTCTTAAACCTCCAGCGATTCACTTAATCACAAGATAGTCACACTATTGGTCTGTGCACCTCGCAAAAGTAAGAATAATTTGTAAGTGCGTTAACAGCAGAGGAGCGTTTGGCCCAGCACCTGCTTTCATACGTGCACAAATACAAACCTTATCCCTTAGCCTGCCACAGTGACATCAGAATTGCTTTACAGCTAGGCTTTTATCACTAATTAAACAACTGTTAAGCATTCGGATGGAGGGTTTTATGTGGCTGGCGGACTTTTTTTCGACAGTCAATGCAAACAGCTCAGCCTCTGATGAACTTTGCCTCGCTCCACAGTCGATGCAGACAAGAGAGTGGGGAGGGGGGCACGCTACGTTATCTCACAGCAATCCACGTAGTTGTCGGAACTGTCTCGAGGTAATGTGTTGACTCAGGGTCGGACCTCCGAAACAGGACGAAAATTGAAAGCTGGACATCTGGATAAGCTGATAAGAGTTCTGAAACTGGCCTGTTGTTGTCAGTGTTTTTTCTGAGGAACACCTTCGGGAACACCTGTAGCTTCATGATACAAAGATGCTTTATTGCCGTGTGTTATCATAAGGAAAAACCGAAAGAATAGGTTTCTCCCACTCATACAGGTCCCGGCTCAGCGCTAACACGCCTGTTTGCATTACAGTCAGCTAAGCAAATAAGTCTCCCTCTTGAAAATCAAGTCAATCAGACCTGTCAGCGCTGCGGTGCGCGGCTCTTGAAGATCATCCTCGGTGTGACAAAAGATATGAGACAATCTCATGACCACCCACAACCACTGAATCACACAACTTGAATGTAGAGTAGCTGATACAGCTGACTCCATCCTGAGAATGTGCACATGGACGTGGTCTAATGTGTTAGAACGGAGTTAATTGCCTCAGTAAAGGCTGTGTCTTTGTTTATGTGACAGCTGTAGGGACGCTTTATAGGCGAGAAGATGGAGACGGACAGGGGGATGGGTGGGACACTGTGACCCTTACGACACATTGTAAGTGTGGCCCTCACGCATTTGTCACTTGTGCTTAATCAGCCTCTTGGAAGGAAAGGAGCACTTTGCATGATTGCAACACTCCATAGAGACATAAAAACATACGTGCGTTGGAGCTTTATCTATTACAAACAATGGCCGCTGGATGAATTTTCACGAGGGGTTACTCTGCAAACAGATGTTTGGTAAAGAAAAATGGTGACCCGTTTAGCCTTTGGTCATTCAAGGCCTTAGCTGGGGGAGGTTCACTAGGTGGCAATGTTCCCTTTTCCTGAGAGCCGTCATGAAAGCGACACAGCTTCAGAGTCAAACGACCCCATTCCCTGACAGATTACGAGATCAGTGGTCAGGGGTTTGTAAAAATGACCTCTTATCGAGTCCGCCTTAGCTTTCAACATATCACAAACTGCATCAAGCATCCAAAGACATTTTCACCTCCCTCTCCTCTTCCCCTTCTTCCATATTACCCAGTGACAGGACTGAACACACACATACACACACCAGACATAAAGAAAAAGCAACCCAAGCATACACACGAGACCTGGTGCAGTTGTGTTGACCCAGGAATGTCCAGACTGTTTGACTAAAACACAAAACTCTCTTCACATTCGTGGACAAACAGTGTATGATTCACAAAAGATCAAAGGAGCTCAAGAGGGTGAGAGCAGGTGAAGAAGTGTGCGTGTGTGTGTGTGTGCTAGCACTGGGGTCAGCGAGTCCCTGAAACCCACGTCTGAACCCTCAAGATGTGATAGTCATCGCGGCCGTTATTTGACCAGCTACACAGTCAAAGAATGTCCGAGTTAAATGTGGAAAGAAAGAAATAAAAAATGGAGGCTTGACGCCCTGCGATGTGATCTTATGTTTGTTTGCTGTGATCATTGTGATGTCATCCCTGCCGTGTTTATCTCACCCTTGATTCGAAAAACTGACGTCTCAGCCTTTTGTCTTTTGGGCAGATGGTTTTCTTGATAGTTCTGTACCATTTACGAGCCATGTAACCTCGCCAGTACGCTTGTATCCTGAACACACACATCACATGACAAGACACCCATGTAACAACACATCCAAATTCCAGCGAGTGTTGCCGATATATATATATTTCTCTAAAGATATATTACTAGCTTATCGCCCCTACCTGGTGGCACACTGATGTTGGAAAAGGCGAGCTGCATCGCTGATGACACGTGTTTCATATGGCTCCCTTCTGCACAGCGGGCAGCGCTTCCGCCCAGAAAACCTCTCAAAGGCATGCAGACACGCTCGGTGGAAAACGTGAGAGCAGGATAGCAAAACCTGAAAAGAACAGTAAGGAAAACATGCAAAGAAAAAGAAAAAAAGATCAAAAATCTTGACCTAAAATGTTCAGCTCAGATTCCCCGGTTGGACTGAATATATGGTGCTGACTTGTCTCCAGCCTGAAGGATGCTGAATGCACATTGGTTTTAAGGAAAGCTTGATTGCATTATGAACACATACAGTGTGTGGCTGTGAGGTTTAAGCCATGCTAAATCTGTGTGTATTCAAGCACATATGTGATCACCTGTATCTGCCTTTCACTGTTATTTACCAAGAGGATAGAAGGAGTCAGCATGACCCCCAGTGGGCCAACTGGGACCTGGACTATAGCCTTCTTCTACCTGTAAGAGGGACTCCTTTATTGCCTGAAAGTAGAGCACTGAAGCTATGGGGCTGGGCACACAAACCAGTTTACTCAGGTCTCTAGAGGGCAAGGGGGGAGGCGTATTGATTTCCCATTGTTTTTGGCCTGACCAACACACTCCATCACCAGTGAAAGGGCCCCCTGCAGTGTACAATTTCCAGGAGCTCGACAAGCCATTAGACCAGAGAGAGAGAGATTTCACATCTCTCTCTCTCTCTACGCTCTAAAGCTTCAGGCTGCACTTTTCCATCAGACACACAATATAGAAGTGAAATAAAACATTTGGGAAGCACAAGAGCTCTTGCTATTTTATTCCTGCAGTGTTGCAAACAATTCGCGGTAAGTATCAAAACATTATCAGCTGCAGAGAGGAGCAAATGCTTCAATCCACACGAACGATTCACAACAACTGCTGTCGTAAGCATTTTCAAGTGTCACATTAACGCTGGAATGCAACATAAGATTTGCAGCACAATTGCAATTGTTACAATATGAAGGCTTTCAAGAAAATGCCAGATCAACAAAGATTCCCTCTTGTCACTTTCCCTTGTTAGCAGGCTCTAATTAACTTTTTTTTTTCCTCCCCCTGAGTCAAACTAATATTTACACGCGCATCTATGGCAACTGTTCTTTGTGAAGGCGTCTATTCTGGTCCCGCATTCTTGAGGAGATTGGCATCTTAAAAGGGGATCGGAAAGGTGTAAAAGACCGAATGACCCTCACAGTAACACACTGATTGCTACATCATCACGTCACAGTTGAGTTCCAAGGCAGTATGGGTAAATTTGTACAGTTGTCTACACAGATTAGAACATACAGGAACTGCAGGGGAGAAGGAGGGGGCGAGGGGGATGCTTTGTGTTTCCATGTGTGTGTGTGTGTGGTTGTGCGTGTGTTTGTCTGTGTGTGTGTGTAGGGAAACACAGGCTTCCCTGAGGCCAGACACAGAATACAGTAAAAAAAAAAAAAAGTAAGAAGAAAAGGGGGGAAAATAGCTCCCACACAGGGAATTAAGAGGAGCCACTGTGTTGGGGAGTACCTGAGGCTGGAGTTGAAACTCCTCCCTGCATATTGCACAGGGCTGAGCTGATTCCTCCTGCTGAACGGACCTTTCTTTGACCCGGGTCCACTCATCCTCTGTCAGTCTTTCTCTAGGGGAGGCCACCAAACCTAACTTTTGAGCTATAAAAAAATAAAATAAAAATTACTTGAAGTAATAGTTATAATTCATATCCTAGTCTTCCTAAAATCCCCAACTGTTTGTTCTACCTAAAGTTAACGGCGGTGGAGCAGGGTCAAGCACGTATTCTCTCTCTTCTTGCTCATGTCGCCTTTGCAGATCCCTTTCTTCCACTCCTTCTCTCACCTGGGGATGTTTGCCTCTACTGTGTCTCCGCAAAGGGTCAGAAAGTGAGAAATCTGGATGCAGCAGGCTTCGCATTATGTGGTCTTGGAAAGCAGCTGAGGTGATTACCAATTTGCTGCTTGCTTTGGATTTTAAGTTCTGTAAAATATGTGAACTGCTGCAGTTACATTCAGTAAATGCATAGCTGGGCAAAAGCAGCGAATGCAGAATTATTTATCTCAGTGAGGATGAGCACAAAGCTATAAACAAAAATGAATACACTGTGAGCTATACTGTCTACAATAACAGCAAAATGCATGAGGAAATGATTATTAGGTAATCCAGAAATTACATAGACATCATATATATATATTTATTTATTTATTTATCCCGTATGGAGCTACAGAAAGCCACAGAAAGGAGAAATTTTGTCAACCACTGTGCCCAGTTTCAAGTCTTCAGCTAATGAAGTCTGTCAAAGTCTAAGGACCAAAGAAGTAGAAGAAAACTACATTTTCAGATTAGCAAACTACAATGTTTTGTTTAAATAATATCACAAATCTGGGTGAAAAGGAGCTGAAATTAAAACCCAAACCTTCCGCAATGCCATCCTATCAGCAGTGTTTCGGTGGTTACCGGGTTACCAGTCCCCGCCCTACGCATCGCCAGAGCAACCAAAGACTCAGCCCCATCAGTGCCTCTGATTGGCTGTCGATAGTTTCTAAACTAAAACGGCACGGATTCAACTTTGTGTGGTTAATTAATAACTGCACAATACAGGAATATGTTCAATATCGCAAGTACCTCTAACGCTATTCGTGTTTTAGGATTTGTGATGAATATTTTATCACATAAATAGCAGTGGAATCTGAGCAGCTTACATTTACGGTATTACTGTAAGTACTGTATTATTTGCAGTCCAGACTTCGGTGATTTTTTTTTCCTCCGGTGATTTAATCTAAGCTTATTGAATTTACATGTTCTCACTTGAGCCACTGAGAAAACTAATGAGCAAGTTATATAATCTACTGAGCAACCAGAAACCAGAATCGAATCCAACAATTCACTCCACCTTCGCTTTAACCTTCCTACCTTATTTCCTTAAAGAATAAAGTACGACAGCTATA